CAAGATTTAGGCAAAGCCTCAGTAAGTGGGTTAAGGGCACAACAGGAGTAAAAGTAATCGCATAGCCAACTCTTTAGCCAAGGAAGTGGCTGGACTTAGAATTTTAGGACCCGGTGGCACCTACGGCCTGATGACTTCGACAATTGCGAAACTAGCCAAATGTTACACCCATGCTCAATCCCTAAAGAGATGGAATGGAATTTAAGGATGAAATTTTGCCAGGATCACCCTGGGCGACTCTGGGAAGCTGGCGCCGAAGAAATATCTGATGATGACCAGGAAAAATCTACGCTTAACAGTAGGATTTCTAACTGGCCACTGTCAACTAAGGAAACACCTCCACAATATGGGGCTAGTGAACACACCTCTATGCAGAATGTGTGAACAGGAAAATGAAAGTGTTGGGCGTGTCCTATACGAATGTCCGAAGTTATCCTCAATAAGAGAGAGTTTGTTCGGCGAGTCTTGGCCTACACCTGCCGATATAAAGGAGATGTCTCCCAGAGACCTGTCCACCTTCCTGAAAAGGACAGGATGGACGATGCCCTAGGAGGACACCTCCTAAGGAGGACAACTCCTAAAGAAGATGTACAATGGGTCACATGGCCTAAGTGCTGTGGACCTACACTCACCCTCCCTATTCTACAGATACAGATATTGTAAAATGTTTCAAAATTTTATTTACAGATGGATAGCGAACCTGTTTTATCTGATTGTTATTACTCAGCAGCTTCACGCATTTTTTCTTTCATTCCATTGTTTCTCTAAAAATTGAAGCAAAATCAATTCATACAGGTAAAGTTAACAACGCAGAACGAGAGATTTGTAATCACAGACATTTAAAAAGCAAAAACTCTTGACAGGTGAGTTCTAAAAATTCTGTCAAACTACACATAAGGGCTTATTCGATTTTCTATGGCTATTCGCAATAGTATATTTTGCCGGTAGCCAGGCGATTCGACGTGGGTGCTTTGTTCAGTCACTCAAATCGACCGCCGTGTTAGTCGGTGGTTCAAACCCCAGTATGAACGATCGATTTTCACTTGTTATCGTACAACCCGTGTTAGGAATCACACGTTAAAAGGTAAGACCTCGTTAATCCTTAGCTCGCTCAAGTTCCAACTTCTGAGGGTTGTCATTCGTAGGGGTGTGACAGCTGAATAACGGAAAAAAATATTTGAGATTTCAGATGATATCTGTTTTGTTTTTGCTGATTTCCAGGTTTTGCCGTGGTTTTCTTTGGTTACAACCTCCAAAAGTTTCAACTGCAATTGTGGCAGTCATCTTCAGTGACGTGGTTAAAGTACTCTTCTTCAACCGAAACATTGAGGCCAGCCGTCAAAAGCCTTCATTTCTATAATATCTGTTCTGTTTCCCGTGGGTTGGGCTACCTATCGGGCGCGTCCCCAGGTGGCGGATAGGGGAACGGCCAGGGGACTGGAGGCCCTGTCCGGGAAGCCAATGTGGCCTTACGGACGGGGTCGCCGGACTCCTGGTCAGTGGCAGAAATAAGTAGAGTGAGGGGAACTAAAGCCCCCCAAAAGCCCTGCAAAACATGCCACCGCAGACCAGCCTACCCAAGCTAAGGTGTAAGGAATCGTGCCGGCAGCTGAATGGCTGCAGGGTGATATGCGGTTACGAACGATCCCTTTGAGAAACCGGGCGAAGCCTCATTGTAATCAACCTACCTCTGGTAATGCGAGACTCTGCCAGAGGTGACCAACCCTTCTCTTGCTACTCGTGGGAACACACATGAGCACAGACACACAAACAAAACAAGATAAAAAAACAAGAAATCCCGAAGCTGGACGGGCGGGGGCTGGGGATGAACAGAAATTTTCATCCCAAGCTACCGCTCAGAATGAGGCTGGACATAGCAGACCACCTCGCGATGTAACGCAAAGGCCAAGGCGTAAGCGTACTAGCGGCGCCGAGGCCAAGAGGATAAAGAGAGCGAAAGAAGCAGGAGTGGCAGCAACTATGAGTGCACCCTCCCACTCTCCCACTCCATCTCCAACAACAAGGGCACCTCTTGCGGCGGGCGCCAAGAGATCCGCCTTGAAAAAAGGCAAGGAACCGGCTGCCACTGCAAGAAAGCTCACGCGGTTACCTTCACGGAGGGAACCCCAAGAAGGTTGAAGAAGCTGCGCAGCGACAGTAATGTTGGTGAAAAGGAGAGAGTGCTGGGTTGGCTGAAGGCGCAGAACCCTGACCTGACGGTAGCAAGATGGTGCACTTTTCATCATGAGGTTGAGATGAACCCACAAGGACGAAGAGGTCTTCGTCTTCATGATCGGATGGCTGTCCTAAAGGAGAAGTCGATGAGGTTAAGCTACTCGTTTACCTCACTGACTATTAGGTTAACAAAGAAAGAAGCAGAGGGTACCTCTGAAGATCCTAGGTCCTTGGAAGTCGAGCCACCTGAAGTGGATATTGACTTCAAGGCCACCATGGGTCCCGAAAAGGAAGTCGAAGCATCTGAACAGATGACAGTCGATGACCTGACGGAGGAGGCACCCAAAAACAGCGAGGCCGCCTCCCCCTAGCGGAGGAGCAGATGGACCTCTAAAGGTAACTTTGAATCCAACAACTGTCTCATGGGCAAGGACGTAATACAATGCAACCTCCAAATAAAAAAGGTGGCAACGGCAACACTATGTCGCCATCTTGATGTATTGGAGGAGGCAATAGCTTTGATCCAGCACCCCTGGATAATGAAGACCAAAATTACTGGTTTCAGTAGCCTAACTGGTCAAATTTTCAGCTTACCAAGCAACCAGCAACCTAGGACGGCTGTCTACGTTCCTAGGAAATACAGAGCGTTTCCGATGATACAATTCAGCACCTCAGACCTCACTGCGGTTAAAGTTGAATGTCCAGTTGGAAAAGGCAAATATATGGCGTTGATAATCGCATCGGTGTACCTTCCTTCAGATGCAGCCACCCTACCACCGACCAGAGAAATGGAGGTACTAGTAGATCACTGCCTCAACCAGAGAGTGGAGCTCATATTGGGTTGCGACTCAAACTCTCACCACTTGGGCTGGGGCAGCAAGGATATCAACGCCCGAGGTAAGTCACTATATGAATATATAATACAGAAAGATCTAACATTCTTGATCAGAAGCACGGAGCCAACATTTATTGACGCCCGTAGCCAAACATTAATAGATATCACGCTTACGACAGCCAAAATATCAAACGAAATCCAAGACTGGCAAGTCTCGGACCATATTTCTATGTCAGACCACCGCTGGCTGACCTATACGGTAAGCCAGGATCTCAGGACCACTGTAAAATCCCGTGACAATCGACTCTTAAGAGGAGCTCGGCGGGAAACAGAGGTCCTAACTCCTGGCAACAATGAAGAACTGGAAAGGTACATGGTATCCTTCCACAACAAAATAGACATTGCCTATAAGGAATCCTGTCCGATGAGGATGGTTCAAACACATGGCACAACCAACATATGGTGGTGCCCCGAATTGGAACACCTCAGGAAGACAGCGAGAACGACCTTTAACAAGGCAAAACGTACAAGACCCGAAGAGAACTGGGGTATATATCAAGCCAACCTCAGTTCAAAAAAGTCTGCAGACGAAGGCAAAGAGAAGCCTGGAGAGCCTATTGTGAGGCCCACTAGCTTCTACGCTACAGAAGACATTCTCAAATGACCACCATAAAAGTATCGGCATCCTGACGAGAGAAAATGGCGACAATGCCGCCAACCTCCAGGAGAGTGCTGAGTTTCTTATGGAAACTCACTTCCCAGGTTCTGTCCTTCCTGGAACGACGAACTGGACGGATGTACCAACAACACTCTCACAATACGACTGGCAATATGCTAGTACAGTAATTGATGAGGACAAAATAAGATGGGCTATAACGGGCTTTTCCCCCTTTAAGTCACCAGGACCTGACGATATAAGGCCAGCCCTACTTCAGTGGGGACTGGACACTCTTATGCCGCACCTGGTTGGAATATTCAGAGCCTCTCTAGCTCTGAGATATATTCCCAGTAAGTGGAGAGAAGTA